GGTCCAGAATTCAGAAGGCAGTGTGGCATGTTGTAACAAAGTGACAGTAGTTTCAATGATATGCCTATGTTTCCTCTCAGCTAATCCATTCTGTTCAGGTGTATAAGGACAAGATTTATGATGTACAATACCTTTGGATTTCAGAAAAGTGTGGAGCTTATTACTAATATATTCACCCCCCCCCATCAGTTTGTAGTATTTTCACAGAAGTAGAGAATTGAGTGGAGACAAATGCACAAAAGGTAACAAAAACATCAGTGAAATCAGATTTACTGGATAAGGGAAACAACCAACAAAACCGAGTGCACTCATCAATGAGAGTAACATAGTATTTATAGCCATCAATGGATGTACATGGTGCAGGACCCCAAAGGTCACTGTGAACAATTTGAAATGGTATGACAGACTTGACATGAGTGGAAGGAAATGGTAACTGTGTGAATTTACCCTTGAGACAACTTTGACACATATGAGAGACAACATCCTGATTACATGGAATATTTGCTTGTTTAAGAAGTAAAGAAACTATATTATTGGATGGATGTCCGAACCTAGTATGCCATAGACTGGAACCAACAAGATGTCCAAGAAAAGCAACATGTGAAGATTGAGAAGGTAGGAAGCTAGTAGAGAGTGAGTGAATAGGATAGAGTCCATTACTGCACGGGGCCTTGTACATGATTTTCCCTGTGACCTTGTCCTGAATCCAGAAGTAAAATGCATCAAAGATTAGCCAGCAATTGTTGTCCAAACACAACTTATGAACTGACAATAAATTCTGTGTCAATTTAGGAACATAGAGAATGGAATTTAATGTGATAGGATTTGTAGAAGTGTTAAGAATAGAACTGCCAATGTGAGAAACTCGCAAACCTTCACCATTGGCAGTTTGAACAACTTCATTGCTGGGATATGGAGAAGCTAAGGACAAATTGTTAAGATCAGCTGTCATATGTGTAGTAGCACCGGAATCTGTCAACCAGACTTGTGGTGATTGAGAAGTAGATGCCACAGAGCCCATATGAGAAGATGGTGATGTGGGAGAAAATACAGTATTCATTGCTTGCAGGGAAGAGGGGTGAGAGCCATGCAACACATGAGGCACATTGTAAGAGTATCCCTGCATTGGAGTACCTGCCCGTTGAGAATACTGAGGTCCCATATAGGAAGGCCCTTTTTCATTGTAAAAACAATACCAAGTTGTATGATTGAACTTGCCACAGATTTGACACTGTTGGCGATCAGAAGAATTATTGTAACAATAAGGAGCAGTGTGACCTTCAACATTACACAATTGACACGTCGGCAATAGAGGTGTTGAGGGCGACGAACCAAGAACACCAGGAGTAGGTGTAGGGAAGACATGGGTTTGTGTATGATACATTGGCCGAGGAGTGTAGTATCGCTGACCTCCATTGAACTTGCCCTTCCCTTTGTTCTTGTGAACATACGGCTTGAAACCTCCTGAAACACCATAGGACTGACCCCCAGTATGATGAAAGGAATGACCACCGCCAGAGTTAAATGCCTGATTAGAACCTTGTGCACAGGGGATGAGGTATTATTGGCAACCATCGCAGACAGAAAAGGAACATGAGAATGACTATCAACAATTTCTTCTTCAGCAAGGAGTTGAGTCCGAAACTCTTTCATAGTCATAACACTTTCTCGGCCTCGAACAACCGTGCGGAATGTATTATACTCTGAAGGCAAACCATTAAGAGCCAAAATAATAATGTCTTCATCATCAAGAAACACACTAGCAGCAGACAAATAATCCCTTGCTTCTTTGATCTTCTGTAAATACCGAGTGACCGAATCTGACCCCTTTTTAATGGTTTGAAGATTGGACTTCATCTGAAAAATAATGGTCTTGGAAACAGTAGAAAACTGTTCCTTAAGCCGAGTCCACAACTCCCGAGAACTAGCACTACCAATTGCACATGACATAGCTACTGGGGACAAGGTGGCAGTAACAAGCTGCATAAGTGCGCGATCATGTAATTTCCAAACAGTATATTCATCTGTTTCTAAACCAGAGGAGGAAGTAGCAGAATTAACTCCAGAATCACCAGAATTAGGAGCAAACCGAGCAGGACAGGGTGTTGAACCATCAACAAACCCCATGATTCCATTACTTTCCAGTAACAATTGCATTTGGAAATGCCAATTAAGATAATTCGAATCATCAAGCTTAACATTGATAGATGTTGAAAGAGTAGAAATGAGAGCAGTAATAGGCGACTGAAGGAGTTGTAATTGAGATGCAGACACCATTTATACAGAAAGAAGATAGAAATCCAAGAGAGGAAATATCACAAACACCTGGTGTGCACACTCTGGAAACACCGATGCAAGAAGATCAAGAAACACCAAGAACCTTAGAAATCACAGAAGACGAAGAAGAATACCAGAATACGTCCAAGCATACAGAAAAGAATCGACGTCGAGGACGAGAAAGAATCACAGAGTGAGAAGATGAGCGGAAGCAGCCGAAGGATCGAAGAAAACAGCAAGAGCGAAAATGGCTCTGATACCATGTAAACTAAGAAGAAGAGAATCACAGACAGTAATCTTAGAGAGAGAAGTCAGAGAAAGAGATTCATAGAGAGAGAAAGATATTTCTATTTCTTTTCTTAATCACCAAGCTATTACACTATAAGAGTATATATACTACACCCTACTTACATTTGCATATTCTTAACAACTATAACTAACTCTCTTAATCTGTTTACAAGTGTCACCATCCTATGTGTACATTATCTCTAACAGAACGGTCATACTCGTTAACATGTAGACTTTAAATTTGTTATTTTCGTATTATTTCTGGTGACATTGTAAAGATTCGACTCGTTAACGGGTGTAACGGTCATACTCGTTAACATGTAGACTCTAAATTTGTTATTTTAGTATTATTTTGTGTCGATTCATTTTAATATGTAGATTATAAATTCGTTATTTTCGTATTATTTCGTATCGATTCGTGTCGGGTAAGGTTTCGTAAAAAATTGTTAGCTTAGCCCCAATCGAAGCCATACTCGGGAAAGTCATCAAATAAAAATTTCATAATTATTGTAAATTGAGGATTAATCAACTAAGCTATAGATTTGCATATTTCCGTTGAGCTATGGTATAATAAAATTGTCGGAACTTACTCTGAGTTGACCTTACGAGTCAAACCCAAGGACTTGGTCATTGAAGTGTACTTGCTTCCTATCTTTTCTCATCAACTACCAAAAATCAAAGTCAAAGAGAGAACCAATTATCAGCATGTCGCTGGTGTGGCACTAAGCATTCGTTTTGAACAATGGACAACTTGATTTTATTATCTACTACAAATAACTTGCATGTAATTCAATATTCAACGAAACCTTTGTTTTTTTGGAGATATCGGCAGACCAAAGTCATTTTTACATACATAATTAAAGAATAATTAATTAAGTTGGAAAGTATTCCTCAAATTTATCGAGGTCGACTTCAAATGATAAGTTTGTAAGAATCATGTATGTGATTTATATACAACCTTTGGGCAACTGGTGGCGCCAGTCTTTTGTGTGTGTGTGTTCCGAGTACTTTGTAGGGCTAAAACTTAGGTCATTTTATGCCTTTTATTTTTTCTCGTGACATTTCATGTGAGAAGAGATATCATGTGGGGAAGAAATAGTTATGTAATGTGCCACGTGCAAATTGTGAAGAGAAATAGGCATATTGTGCAGAGAAACATGCATAGAATAGGAGTACATGATATTTTACGTGAGAAAGAGATATCACATGGGGGAAGAAATAGGCATGTAACATGGCATGCACAAATTGTGAAAAAAAATAAGCATAGAGATTATAGGAGAGAATCTGTCACATAATGTTGCACGTGAAAAAAAAAAGATAGGAGCACAAGGATATTTCATGTGGGAAAGAGATATCACATGAGGAAAAAGTAAGTATTTAACGTGCCATGTGCAAATTGTGAAGAAAAATAGGTATAGAGATTACGTAGGAGAGAATTTTGTCATGTAACGTTGCACAAGAAAGAGATAGGAGTATGCACAAAAACGTTAAGGGTATTATGTGATGAGAAGATACACAATCTCTCAATTTGTAGGTAACTTGATTTGTATGGATTATTTGTTCGCTTCAAAGGTGGGATTTGCATATGTTGTTTGTGTATAGGTTTTGGTAAAGGATTCTTGAGGGTATATGTGTGTGTGTGTGTGGGTTCCCCCTTGACATCACATTAGAGAGTAGAGATGATCTTTTGACCTCTTCTAAGTGAGAGTAGAGATTATCTTTTGACCTCTTCTAATGAATGGTTATTTGTTGAATTAAATAATGTAGAATTTGAATATTGCACACTGAATTAAAAAACAAAAAAAGAAGGAATGTGTAACATCAGTATTTCCTACTTGCTATCATCTTTAAAAAAGATAATATATTCGGAGAGAGATTGAGAAGCCACCTGTGCACCATTAGTGGATCAAAATGAGGCATAGCTAAGCTATCTAGTGTTAGTGCCTCATTAGTCGATCGCAATTTATTCCAAGTGCAGTACTTGACAATATTGTGTTTGTAATTTGTTGGTTTAGAGTTTAGACCACACATTCATTTGGTAAAAAAGCCAATAAAGCAGACAGGTAAGCTAGTGGTCTAGAGTAGTGGAATATGTGCATCCGAATTTGAATTTCTCTACTCGTAAAAGAGTTTCAAATATTACATTAGAAACGAATAAAATAAAATACAACGGGATACTAATTTAAAGATGACAAGGTCATACATTCGGGAAAAAAAAATTACCTAACCAGCTAATTAATCTTAGTTTGATGAAATAATTTCACGTTATTAGTTATTTGTCTCATAGACTTCTAATAAAAAATCTCTCGATAGTATCGATAACTATACAACTATTGTATTGTCGATATCAATGTTATAAACGACATATACAATCAATAAAGTGTCAATATTGAATAATCGAGTCAGCCAACTGCTTAAGCGTGTTGAGCAAATAATTAACAACTAAAAACCCACGAGCCTTTTTTTATTAAAATTTAAATTCACCCATAAATTTAAGTGGTTGCAAAATCCACTTGTGCTCAATATGTACACAAGACTCCGCCCCTAAACACACGGGGGGGAGGAAGTTCGACTACCTACTTCCGACGCCAACGACGTCGTACGTTGACTGTGGCCCTAAAAACCCATACATGCGCCCACCAATAAGAATTCACATGCGTGACACGTCACGACACAACAGTTGCAAACCACGAAAACAAAACCAAAATTATACAAAAAAAAAAATATTAAAAAAACAGACAAATTAACGCCGGAAAGCATTTCGCTTTCTCCGACGAAACACTTGAAATTCATCAGCGCCGTCAGTTTCGGTTGACCCTTTCGAGGTACCCCGGCATCGGAGTTGCACGTGGGGACCGGAGGGGAGCTCCGTTAAGTTTCTTCCCGTTACTATCGTAGTAAATGGCGCCCGAGAAATCCAACGGCTCGCACTTATCCCCCATCAGGATCGACCTCTGCCATACCCCACCGTCCCCCCACTCCTCCTCCTCCGCGGCGTGGGCCTTACCATCCGATTCCTCGCCGATCTTTTTCAGGTGCAGGAAGGTGATGGCCTTGTTGCTTATGGTCGACATCAGCTGCTTCGGCTTTCTCATCATCGGCGACTTATTCGGCAAGACATCCGAGTGGTTGTTGTTTTTTATCAGCTTGGAGTTGGTGGCTTTCAGCTTCCCCGAGAGGCGGCGGCCGATGGCAAGGAGTGCCGAGATGGAGACCAGCATACGAGTTTTGGACTTCAGGTGCATCGACGAGTCCGAGTCGGAATCGGCGCTTGCATGCAGATGACGAACCATGTTAGAGATTTTCCAGTATGTCTAAAATACTGACGGAAGGAAAATCGGCGGGGAGGGAGGTGTTTGGAGGTATGACCGTATGGGGGTGTTTTGGTGGTGGTGGTGGTGGTGGGTGCAATGAGAGAGGTGTTTAAGTGTGGTGGTGGGTATAAATAGGATGAAGTATGAGTTTAGGTGACCGGTTATTGCCGGTGTATATTATTTTTTTCCTTTTTTGGGTGGAAGAGTTAGGGGGTGAACCGGTGGGTTTTCGGGTTGACTTCCACTAGGGTAAGAAGTTGGTGAAGAACCATGAGAGCAATGATAGGGTGTAGTGTGACACATTGATATTTTGATGTACTTCTCAAAAAAGCAAATAAATTTCTATATTCTCATAAAATTGCGTAACCAGTGCATTGTATTTGGGTTTATGATTGTTTTCATATTTGTTGCATTTCGCTTTTGGATTTTAATTTGGGTTGGAAATTAAGGAAATAAAATCTCAATTTTTGTTGGGGTTGAAATTTTTGTTTCCTATAGTATGAAAAAATTACCAACTTTCCTTCGGTAGATGTTTCTTACATCTTAAGTATTGTGTACTATTCTAAAGCATTAAAGAAAATTACAAACTTTCTTAAATGGTATGAGTCGTTTATTCTTATCTAATAGATAGCAGATATCGGCAATGCTAGAAAAACAACAATTATAATCGCTTAATAATTAACAATCATATAATTTGCTTTTATTTTTTTGTTGACAACGAAGCATAAGCCTAGAAGAAAAAGAAAGATTACATAAGAATATCACGAAACTCTAGCTATATTTGTAATTAGCAACTGACGACAATAAGGAGGAGCTTACTAAAAAAAGATTGGACCCAAATTGCATGACAAACCCAAACGAGTCAAATCATCATAAAAAAAATAAAAAAATTATTTTCACAATAAATATGTCAAATTTTATAAGACCAACTTTGATAGCATAACAATTCATTGCCAAACTTTCTAGAGGGTGATTATCTACTATAGCATTTAAAATCAATTGTACTACAAATGCACGATCCAATTCCGCCATAATCTTCTTTATTATTTATTCTCAAAATCCACTTGTTTTCTTTCCTTTTATCTCATTACACAATGTTGTCCCTATATTGCTAAATTTAAAGTTTATATTTATCTACAAAGATGTGTTTGGTATATAAACTTTTTTTTTTTTTTACACAAGTGTGAGTTTTTGAAAGAAACTTTTCCGATGAACTTAATGGAATATGTTCCAGGCACCTGAGAGCCACAGTATATCTACTGTAATCCTGCTGAGTGCCGAGTCATAGTAATTAAAATCAAATTAACAAAAGTGTGCATCTTGCTTATGTAATATATCAAGTGGAGGGCCAGGATTAATTGGATATATAATTACAACTTGTAACTTGCAGATGAGATGGGGTTCCACTTCTAGGGTCGTGATTGGTCCGTGTGGATTGAGGGCCATTTTGTTTTGGTCTGAGTAGATTGGAAGACCTTTTTACCTCTTGGCATGCAAATAGCTTAAGCTGAGAAAGAGAGGAGGACCAAATGGTTGTTGAGTCAACTCCCATTGCAACTAGTTTCAGTGAGGTTTGCGATCAAAGACATAATCACGCCAAGCTTGTAACTTGTGGTGGAGAACGACCGACAAGAAACAAAATTTCAAAGTGGCTGGCGGTCTTTTTCATCAATTACGCGACCGTATGTGAAAATTTTAAGAAGAAATTAGGTTCACATTCTTATGTTTGCTACTCCATTAATTAAAATCTTATTTATTTTTAATTTTTTATTAAGGTCCTTGGGTATTAATAATATCATTAATTATTTGAATATTAAAATATTTTTATTTTTAAATATATTCCTTTAGAGTTAAAAATGTTACAATTAGTATATTTATATTTATGGCTAAATTTTTTATCATATATTTTATTTTTAGTTTGTACCTATTTTTAATTTGTACCCATATATTAGTTTATTTTTGTGCCCATATTTTTTAAAGTTTTGTTTGTGTTTGTACCCATGTGTATACCGTCATGTGACATTGTATATTTAATCAATGATAGAAAAATTACATATGGTATGTTTTATGCCTAAACTTTGTATCATATATTTATATTTTTAGTTTGTACCCACTTTTAATTTGCAACATTTTTTAAATTTGTAGTATTTTCTTTTTAGTTTTATTTTGTACCCATGTATTAATTTCTTTTAGCGCCTATATTTTTTAAAAATTCATTTGTACTCATAATTTTTTAATCTTTTATATGTACCCTAAGTTATTTATAATGTACCCATTCTTCTTTATTAATGTACCACTTTGTTATATGTGAAAATGCGCCAATTTGTTTAACACTATGGATACATTCTTTTGCCATTTATTATTTCTTATTTTTACATAGTTTTTATCCATTTATTCAATCAAAATGTTTGAATTTTTTTATTGTAACCATTTCTAATAGTATTATAATGAGGGATTTTAAATTTATAGGATTATAAATCTCATAAAATATCAAACAATTAATGTCAAAACTATAAAAATATAAATATTGATTGTAATATATATAATGAGGTGTACAAAGTCAAGGGACTTTGATCAAACTTTGAATATCATTAAGGTTTTAGTCAAACAATGTTAAGGATTAGGGACCGCATCCAAAGTATCCCAAATTTTAAATATGTAATGGCGTGTTATTTGATTCAGAATACTATGATAACATTTTAAGAGTGTAAGCAAGTTTGTATCCTAATTGTGGTTGGAGGCAAAAAATTATAGTGAGGCAGCAAAGGATCCTTAGCGGCAGCAGGCCATGTCTGAGGAATTCTTGGTGAGGAATAGTGCGGAAAGGGAGCGAGACCAAGCCGAGCCACTAGGAAAGTAAGCCCTTCCCGCGTGCCAAAATGAATGTAGCCTCAACCATAAAGATCAACCTGCGCCTTTGATTTAAGGATGCCGGCGACGCCAACAAGCATTAGCTCTCCATAAAAAGGAGGTGATCCAGCCGCACCTTCTAATACGACTACCTTGTTACGACTTTACTTCAGTCACTAGTCTTGCCTTCGGCATCTCACCCCTGCAGTTAAGGTGAATTTGGGCATGGCCAACTCCCATAATTCGAATTGAAGATTGATAAATAAAAAATAAAAAAAGGGTCTATTTCCACGTCATATCAATAGTTAACTCACTTATCATAGTTAAAAGCGGCAGTTCCAGATACATTAGTGCTAAAGTCTTATGTTGGACTAATTATTGCAACTTGGAAATGTGTTTGCGTATCTCATTCATTTAGGAACCCACCAAATTGCGACCTGGCCTTGCACGGCCGCTTTCATACTTCTATTGACTTTTTTCTCGTATAATCTTCTGGCATCATCTCCCAACCTCTAATTAAGTAGTACTAGTCATGAAGCATTAATCTTGCTCTCGTTTGGGCACCACAAATATTAGCTCCCTCGATTTTCTACCATATATCTAACTACTCAAAGTCAGAAACTAAATAACTGGTCATCAGGAATTTAATATTTGGTGACCTCCATCACCTTACAAGCTAACTGTTTTTTTTTTTTTTTTTAACAAATCGATAATGTTTTGACAAAATTATAAGCAAGTCTCATTCGTCTCTTTATACTATCTATCAAGTACACAATTTATTAGCAAGACATTGTTGATTAAACTGCACAAACCTTCACAATGAAAGGAAAAATTGTATATAAAAAATTGTACATAACAAATCCTTGCTGTCGAATTGTATATAAAAATTGTATATATTAGTTTGTACCTATGTTTAATTTGTACCTTATCATAAAGAAGGTACGATGGCCAATTCGACAGCAAGGATGACAGCATGGAGCTCCGCATAGCAAGACATTCGTTGCTCTCATATTTTTCGAGAAGGGAATGTTGTTGCTGACAAATTAGCCAATTTAGGGCTTCTATCATCTTCACTTGTCTGGCATTCCACTCCCCCAATTGAGATCCTCCCTCCTCTGCACTCAGATTTCTTGGGCATGCCAACCTACAGGTTTGTCTCCTCTTCTTGATGTGTCTTCTCCTTTCTTTTCCTAACCTTTTTGGATTCCCTTTTGTTTTGCAGTTTGTTTTGCAGGTTATTACCTTTTAAGGTTTATAGAAGGGTTTGGGCGTATGTCCGCCTAGTCTTTTCCTTGTATTTTCTTTTCCAAGAGGGGTACGGTCTATGTCCCCCCTCTTTTTCTGGCATTTCCTTTCTCAAAAGGGGTAAGGTGCATGTCCCCCCCTTTTCTTTTGTATTTCTTTTCTCTTGTTCTATGAGGGGTTAGGTTTATGTCCCCCCCTGTCTAGGTGTAACTTCTTTTTTCTTATCAATAAAATTCCCTCGTACCAAAAAAAAAAAAAAAAAAAAAAAAAAAAAAAATCTATTACTTGTAGGAGTTTTCTAATTTTGCGAGACAAAGCTAAGGGTTTTAGGGTGTAAATTTTTTATAGGCTTTTAATCATTTTAGCTAAAATTTAACTTGAAAACTGAGAGCATAATTAATTATGTTCTAGCACATTATAAATGCCATAAGATTATATTGGAGATTTAAGATTTAAGGGAGATTTTATTAAGTAAACATGGGGTATAGTAAAATGGTTATCAAGTGCTCCTTCTCCTTCTCCATTTCCATCCCATGGTTTAATCCACTTGTCATCCTCCATCTCATGGTACAAGAACAAAATTCGATTTGTCTTGGCCCACAAAGAAAAAGTTTAAAATATGGATTGATTTTTCAATGTGTTCAAAACACGGGACGATACACCTTATGTTATTATATACAAGTGGAGGAAGTTTTTATTTTTATTTTTATTTTTTATAATCCCTCCATTTGTACAATAACAAATAACGTATGTGCCCGTGTTCCGAACAAATTGAAAAATCTAATCAAAATATGTGCATGAGCTAGGTTGGAATTAATAGGGAGAAAACACAAAACTCACAGGCTGTAGCCCATACAATCGTTTGGTCCCTGATTTCCGCATACGTACAGTTTTCATTTTAGGGTTTCATAAAGGTTTGAATTATGATCAGCAGTAGGATTTAAAATTGGAAACCCTAATATGAGCAGCATGAGACAAATTTGGCAGATTGAAATCATGCATGAATACTTTGAAG